CTTCAAAAATTTATGTCCGGATCCAATAAGTAAAGAAGTGAAGAGAGAATGATCTGTTGGGAGCATGCTGGATAAGCCAAGTATGCTCGAACTGACCTATTCCAATTGGATTCGGGTGATGGGGCATCATCAATGCATGTCCTCCATATCAGGTTAGCATCATCTAAGGAAAAGGTTTAATTAGGTGAATATGAACAACACTAATGGTCGGGGGTTTACATAATTTCTCTTGGATGCTCTTAAATACCTTTTGTTGAAAATCTTATAAAAAAATAAGAGAAATTATTATTGCTTTAAAACTGCAGATATTGAATTTGAGTTAGATGCAGATCAAAGAAAATGGCAAAGTACAATAGATCTAACAACAGATATGCTAAATATTAATTACTCTGATCTATACTCTGAAACCCTTTTTCAATTGCTATTCCAGTGTTGATAATAATGCCATAGATATGAAAACGTCAAAATTAAATATCCCAACCAGATGACATAATATATTAATTATACTTGAAAGCATATCTGGAGCAAATAAAAATTTGATTACACTATCTCAAATTATAAATCAGATCTAGCAGTAGAAATATTACCTTTTCTTTTAATATTTTAAGAGTTATACAGCCCATCTTAAACTTGGCATCACTTTTTATAAGTGAAATTGAAACAAATTTAATAGCTAAGAAATCATTTCCCTAAAAGAAAATATGCTGTAAAATCTTGAGTTACAATTTCCAATTTGTGATCTGCAAGTAATAATATATATAGGTAAATTCGTTTATTTAATTTTTTTTTCAAGAAATAATCTACATTTGGTTTCTATTGTAGACCAAAGATTTCAAAAAATTGTACAAAATTATTCAGTGGCTAATTTATTATAACACAGAGTATGATGATATTTAGAGTAGTAAATAAAGCGATTATATTAAATTCAAATTATTTGTCAAAATTAGCAATTAAACATTAAACTATGATTCCACTTTAAATGATTTAGAATCTCATATTCTTTTTGGAAAACGCCAAACAATTCTAAAGAGAGGATATAACTTCCTAATTTATCCATATCTAAAAAAAAATTCTTTGTGCTTCAGCAAATGACAGACTTAGCGAAAGTAGTTTCTCTACCGCCAAATTGACTGATTTTATGGAGATTATCATTATGTCCAGAAAATTTATATAAAATTATTTTTATATATGATAATTATAAAAACAAAATTTAGAATTTGTGATAAGTTTTCTCAATAAAGATATAAAAATATACTGAGATATCTGTAGTGTAGTGTATATTTTAATTTAATTTTTCTTAAAAAAATTAATTAGCATATAAAAAAACATATGTTATAAATAAATTTATAACAGTGATCATATGATGCTGTCTTAAGTTGACAGTGGCTAAAAATCGGACTGCTGGCTGCCAATTGGATTTTTGAAACTAATGCCACCTACATTTATATGTCTAGGTATGTTCTATTATTAAAAAGTTTGAGATGATTAGTTGTATTTAGTGATGATACAAAGTCACTTTTTGCGCACTATTTTAAAAATTGCTAACTCTATGTTTTAGGCAAAAAAATATTGCCTAAATATTGTTGAATATGTGTTTTACAAACCACAAATTTTTTTCTAAAATTATTACCTTAACCAATTATTGTATATTTCATTTTTTATAATATAACATTTTTGTTTTTAAAAAAAAAAAATTTATATAAGATATAAACCTGATAAATATATAGATATTTTTCCTAAAATCTATTCCATCAACTAATGGATGGTAATCTAAAAATGGTTTAATAGCATCGGTTAGATCAGATGACATGAAATCCATTTCATCTATAATAAATAATTGATGAGGACACCTTGTTGTATTTCCTTTTATCCAGTTTCTAATTTGATCCTAAAAAATATGCTTTTATTCAATAAATTTAGACATATTAATACAATATATAATTGTGTCAGTGATTCATGAGCAAAATGAAGAGATGCAATCCATAAATGAACATATTTACTATTCATACCTAATTTATATAAGCTTTTAGCAATTAGTTGGCTGGTGTATGTTTTTCCTTGTACATAAAAAATATAATATATGTATTTAAAAATTTACCATTTCCAGTCCATCCATGGATAGATATTACTAAAGGTTTCTCTGGATTTTTATTGATAATATGCGAATAAATTGCTTTATATACTAAGTCAATCGCAATGTGTTGCCCATATATTTTTGTTTTTAAATCATTATGTAGTTCTATTGATAAGAAAATATAATGAATTTAATAATAATTATCACCAGCTGTACTATGTGGTATCCATTTTTCATTACAGCATTCATAGTTATTAGTCAAGCACTTTAATTTATCAATACTATGATAAACTATTGAGGATGTGGCAATAAGAGCTCCAGACATTGCCACAACACTTGATATGGGTTCAAACGCATTTGAATTTGAAATAAAATGCAAAAATAAAATAAAATAAAATTTCATGAAAATAGGTTCGATACTCTTAAAAATATCAAAAAGACAAATAAGCTAAAATGGCTGTCAAAATGGCCCCTATAAGTTTGAAGCGAGAGATTTATATCAGACATTTACAGATTAGATAATTTTTTCTATTTTATTTAATGGAGTTCCTAATAGGAAAAGAGATTAACATATTCCCAATAGTTATTAAAAATCTAGAAAAAAATTAAAATATGAATAAATCTGATATTTATAGGAATAATAAGTATAAATCTCTACGATAAAAATTTTATTAATGGAGTTCCTAGTAGGAAAAGAGATTAACATATTCCCATTAATCATTAATGAGTAAATCTGATATTTATAGGAATAATAAGTATAAATCTCTACGATAAAAATCTTATTAATGGAGTTCCTAGTAGGAAAAGAGATTAACATATTACCATTAATCATTAGAAATCTAAAAATATTTTAATTAAATATTTATTATGTTAATAATATTAATTATTATATTATAATTAAATCATATTAAATATTATAATTATATATTACTAAAATTTATAATTATTTATTACTAAAATTTATAATAATACAATTTATATATTTTTATTTATATTAAATTAATTTAATTACTTTAAATATTATATTAATAATATATTATGTTAAATATTACAATTTATTAAAATTTATATTAATACAATTTATATATTTTTCTTTATATAAAATTAATTTAATTACTTTAAATATTATATTAATAATTTATTATGTTAAATATTACAATTATATATTTATTAAAATTTATATTAAATGATTTTATTTTTAATTATATAATTATATTAAATATTTAATTAAGGTATTTATTAAAATTTATAATGATATTAATTTAATATTAATAAAATTTTTATCGTAGAAATTTATACTTATTATTCCTATCAATATCAGATTTACTCATATTTTAATTCTTTTTAGATTTCTATTGATTAATGGGAATATGTTAATCTCTTTTCCTACTCCCATTAATAAAATTTTAATCGTAGAGATTTATACTTATTATTCCTATAAATATCAGATTTACTCATATTTTAATTTTTTTCTAGATTTCTAATGATTAATGGGAATATGTTAATTTCTTTTCCTACTAGGAACTCCATTAATAAAATTTTTATCGTAGAGATTTATACTTATTATTCCTATAAATATCAGATTTACTCATATTTTAATTTTTTTCTAGATTTTTAATGATTAATGGGAATATGTTAATCTCTTTTCCTACTAGGAACCCATTAGTAAAATTTTTATCGTAAAGATTTATACTTATTATTCCTATAAATATCAGATTTACTCATATTTTAATTTTTTTTTCTAGATTTCTAATGATTAATGGGAATATGTTAATCTCTTTTCCTACTAAGAACTCCATTAATAAAATTTTTATTATAGGGATTTATACTTGTTATCCCTATAAATATGAGATTTATATTGTTAGAGGTTTCTAGTCACTTATCTTACTAGGAAATCTATTTATCATACGTATTTATTCATTCTGATTACTTAGATATTACTTAAAGATATTGTTAAAAGGCTCGATTTGAATCAAGTTTTTAAAAACGGATAACTCAAATTTTCGCTAGCAAAATATTGACTAAGCCTCGAGATTTAGCTAATAGATGCCAAACCTTTATGCTACCTCTGAGCAAGGTCTGCTGGCTTGCCTAATATTTTTTCGGATAAAATATTGAGTTAGCTGTATTTAAAAATCGGCTCAAATCGAGCCGTTTAACAACATTACTTATAAATAATATGATATTATAAATAAGCATGCATGTTGTAATAATGAAATATAAGACTAACAATTTTATTATTACTTTTGCAATTATATCAATAGTATATATAAATATTATTATTGTGATTGATAAATATAAAATGATTGCAATTGTATAATAATGCTATATAAAATAATGATTGCAATTTATATATCAATAGTTTATAAATTTATATTTATTGAGACTATATATTGATGAAAGTATATAAAATAAAGATTGCAATATATCAATATTAAAATTATATTTATTAAGACTGTATATTGATGGTGGTAAAAATTTGTATATATTGCAATTGAATATTAATTGTATATAAAATGATTACAATTTGTATATCTATAGGTGGTATATAAAATAATGATCAATTTGTATTTCAATAGTAATATATAAAATAAGGGTAATTACTTTTTGCATATCAATATTATATAAAATGGTGTAAATTTGGTATAAAAAGCTTAAAAAATGAAAATTTTGACAGCATGATCATAATATTAATAAAGAGTGATGTGAATTTTTAGGTAAAAACCTAATAATTAATAAATATCTATGTATGCATATAATAGTTTTCTCTATTTTGAGAATATAAATAATTATTAGAAAATAGTAGATTTTTATTAAATTTAGATTTTATAAATTTATATTGGGCATTTTGCTTTAAAAAAATTAATTGATTTATTGAATAATCTTTAATGGCTATAAAAGATTATAGAAGCATATTTTAAATTTACCTTGATTGGTTGGAGTTCCTGAATGGATTATAAATGAGGCTAAGATTAAAATTTCCAGGTTAACAAGATAGTATATTTTAAATTTACCTTGATTAGTTGGAGTTCCTGAATGGAATATCAAGTGATGCTAAGATTAAAATTTCCAGGTTAACAAGATAGCATATTTTAAATTTACTTTGATTGGTTGGAGTTCCTGAATGGATTATATTGAGTGATACTAAGATTAAAATTTCCAGGTTAACAGGATAGCATATAAAAATTTGTTTATTTAAATTTGTCGAATAATTTATAATTTTAAAATAGTTCGGAATATAGTCACCACAGTAAGTTTTTTATCATAAAATTAAACTATTTTACTAATTGGATAAACTCTATTTAAAATATATTTTCTATATTAATATTAACATTCATAACGGTTGATTGTCAAACTAACATGAAATTCACACGAGCTTTTAAAATATCATTATAGAAAAATTTCGCTTTGAAATTAAAGTTATTTATCAATCATCAATAGAAAATATAACAGAAGGTTGGGTTAAAAATAATTCTAAAAAGATATAAGAGACCAAATTTAAAATATAATGTAAAAATTTATGTAGAAATCATTAAAAATATTGGGAAAGGGGATGACTCCAAAGAAGTAAATGCGGTTGGAGCAACAATTCTTCAAAAACTTTTTTGTCGGAAGAAAGACCAATTATAATATATTTAAGTAAAGTTTATAATTTTTAAATTTAACTAGAAATGGATAAAATCTTTTATTAAAAATTTGGCTTGAATAATTTTAAAAGTGTATATTAAAAAAAAATTTGTTCTTACTTTGATCTTTCACAACATCAAATATTAACAAAAATAAATAAAATTTTGAAACGAAAGTTTGTTTAATCAAGTTTTCTATGAAGATTAAACAATTTTAGGATAATTAATTTATGATACTGTTTATGTTAAACATACGTATGCAGCTGCGATCAGTGGCGTCGCTAGGGGGGGAGCGCAGGGGCTTGAGTCCCCTAAAAAATTTGAATAGCCTTGTGGAGCAAAAAATTTTTTTTAATGGCTCTTTAATATCCCCTTGAACTAAAAATAAATTTTTTTGATTTCCCACTGAATGATTTATAATTCTGTTAAGTAATATATAGATATAATTTTATTATTTAGAAATTAATAAGACTATTTAAATTTTTATTAAATGAATATTATTTTAATTTTTAGATTAGATTAATACATATAAATTATATTTTAACTATGTCAGCTTGCAATAAAATTCTGTATTTAAAATATAATATCAATAACTCACTAAATATTAATAAGTTAAAGTTTAATTGACTTTTATTATTTAAATAATTATTTAACCCTAATTAAATAAATATAATCATATATAATTTAAAAATAAACAAATTTAATATTGTAATTAGCCGAGTTCAAAATGAGTAATCAAGTGTATATTTATTTTGAAATTTTATTATCAGACCTTAAATATATCTTCAAGGTCCAAATAAGTATAAAAGATTTCTTTATAAAAAGTAAGTAGACATATAGTTTATGATCCTTTACTATATACAGTGGTTTATATAATATTAGATATTATGCCACTTTTATAGACATATTTGACAGATATAATATATTACAGTCAATATTAAATTTTACTAATAAATGGTTTTGATAATAAATATAATAACAAATTGCATTCAAGTTTTTAACGCCATCATTAAGTTAAAATTAATTTTAAAAATTAAACATTTTATTATTCATCCTGCAATAGATGTAATAAATTTGATATCTTTTCTTCTCATTTTTTACGTGTTTTTAGGAAAGCTATTTTTTTCTTTTTCGAAACAGTCTTGAGTTAAATTTTTAAAACAAGTATATTTTTGATATTATTACAAACTACTATTATTTCAAAATATAATTTACAAAGGTGGTGCAACAATATATAAAATCATAATTGTTTCATCATATCCTTCTGGTCCTTATTTTATAGTTAGAAAATGTTTCATTTCTAAAATAGCATTGCGGTGTAAATAACTCCAGGTTTCAATATATTTGCATAATTATTTCAAAGATTTTTTGTGTTTTTATTTTATCAATTTATCCAACATAATAAATTCTGATATTAGTTTACATTATGAGTGTCATGGCTATTACTGCAAATTAATCAGCATCTATTATTTGTGTTGCTATGTAATTTAAGATTATTACTATAACGGCTAAGAGCATATAATTGCATATTTTAGATAAACAATAATAGTCAACTGTGTAGTCGTTTATATAGCATTTAAAATAGAATATAATCTTTTAGAAATTTAATATCTCACTAATTTTCTCGATTACTTATCTAGCTTCCATCATGTCATCTAAGAGGAAGCTCTAACCACCATGGTCGTTTATACTCTCTCCTTCAAAAATTGTTGATTTGGTTTAGGCCTATAAATATTTCCTTATTAGTCCATTCTATAAAACATTATCTAAAATGGTTACAGAGAATTATACTAGTTTGATAACCATTTGTCAATGTAAGTTGCTAAGATTTATATTATCGCATTATGTGATTTTTTATATGCCTGTTTATTTTGTATGCATAATATAATAAATGACAATATATGAAAATCTGAATAATTATTCAGAGTTAACAAATTATAAAAAAGTATAATATATTAATATAATGCCCGGCATAAAATTGTTTTAGTTAAGCCCCCTGAGATTGTGAAGGCTAGCGACGCCCCTGCCTGGCAATTTATACATAAAAAATCAGATAGGAACTTGCAAATCTCTGATTTGAGGAGGAAAGTTATAATAATGTAACCCCCCTTTAACTTCTCCCAAACCTATTAGTATTTTTATGGAAAATCAGCTTGATTAAGAACCTCCAAATTTCTATAATATTATGTATGATAATTTTTTTTGGTAAAAATTAATTTCAAAACCCTTATTTGACTTATTATTTTTTTTAATTAATATTTATTTATATTTGAAATATAATCTGATAATAAATAACTATTGCTATGCGTCGTTGATAAATCGTTCAAAACTTCGTTTTTAAATAGTTTCAAACTAAGTATATTTCAGACACCTTAATTACACACTATTTTGTAAATTAAAAGTTAATCCTAACCCATATATGCTTTTTAAGAGATCGATCAGATGAAATTAAGACTTATCCTTAAATGAATTTCATTTATTTGACTTTGTTCATATCTTTAATATGCAAAATTATCTAGCCAACCCATTAAATATTCCTTTTAATTTAAACAAAATGTAAATAATTTTTGGTATAAAATCATTTACTGACTAATGGGTCTAAATAACTTATTCATATGAGAACACTTTTTCCTATTTATTTTATATCAAAATAAAATAGAATTAAATAAAGAAATAAAAAAACATGAAAAGAAGCTTTTAGATAATGCCACAGTGGATTGATTTAGAGTGTGACACACATTTCTCGTAATTAAGAAAATTCCTATATGGATCATTCTAAATCTTGAAGCCGGACTTTGTGACCGAGAGCATAGATTGTGTTATAACCTTGGGATGATGAATGTTTCTATATTTATTCATTTTCTACTCTAACAAAAGAATTGGAGCTAAAGGATTGTGCAAAAGCGATCAACGCTTGGGCATTCTCAAGCTAGCGGGATTCAGTTTCTCCATGGAATCATTATCATTCTATTAGGCCCAATATTGTTTCCGAAATTAAGTCCTATAGATTCCAAATTTGAAGGAATATTGACTGAGAGGAGATATTTATTTCAAATGTCCCTATGGAGTTCTTTTTAAATAAAACAAAACATTCCATTATAAAAGAGGTTGGTGTTTTAATAAATATTATTGGTTAAAAATAATCAGAATTTAGTAGGTCCTCTAGATTTTATGTAAAAATGGAGATCTTAGATATAGATAACAGTATCTTATTAAAAATAATAAAAGATATAAAATAGAAGATATAAGATACATGTATTTTTCCTACATGAGACTATCTATAATAAAATACTTTTTATAAAATGATTATTATCTATTAAATTAGGATATATATATATATATAAAATAAATATATAATTTTTTTTTTAATTAGAGAAAAGATATATTTATTTGAAATTTATATATATAAATTAATAAAGCTCATTTAATATCATTATTGATAATTTACAATGAATGATAGAATCGTTTAAATTATCATATTTAAACATGCGCTTACGCAGGAGTTTTGGGGGAATAATTTTAGATAATATTTTATTTAAAAAATTAAGTTCATAAATTTATAAGGACTAATGACTATTTCTAAAACACAAATTAATATTAAAGTAAATCATAAAAATAACGCATATAACCAGAAATGAAAAAATGGTAAAGAACATGAATTATGGATTGCCAAGTCGAGGAAATAAGCAGCTTTTTATAAATGCATTAAGTCTAATGTTGTAAATAAACGGATTCTAATTGAGAAGGAATTTGTTTTTACTGAAAAAAAAGATGAACACCATTCTTTTTATTTTTAATGGATCTCAGAAAATCTTCTTATTTTTATTCACTGAAAATTAAATATTAATTTATATTAACTCAAATTTTTTTTAGAAAAAAGAGTTATTTTTTAATCTTCTATTTCCTTTATCACATTTGAATTTTTTTACCCAGTCAGTATTTCTGTCATATAGTATAGTTTATTTATTAAATATTTTTATTTATAGATACCGTAAACATGGATGTATCATCATCTGATTCTGAATTAACATTACCATGTTGCAAATATAATAACAGTAACATATATTTAATAAACAAATTATACCCTTACCAATTGTAAAATGTGTCCAAAAAGTATAATAACAGTTTCAAAATTTTAAATTATTTAAAGAGGCACTTGATTGTAATATTTATTATTTTATATAATATAACTATATGTAGCCAATTAATAATTTATCATAGATTGTTGTATTTCATAGGTTTTATTAAATTATTATGATTATAATAGACACATAAAATATCAAAATTTTAAAAATTATGTATAGATATAAAATATTTAATAGTGATCTTTATCTTTTAGAATTTATCAGCGAAGTAACATCATATGTTTTAAAGTCAACTAAATAATATTAATTAATTCCAATTTTTTTTTTAAAAAATATGTTCCTTGATAGATTTTATATAAGCAATCTTTCTTTCTTTCTTAGCTGAGAATTTTTATTCAGTTGTCGAATTCTGACACATAATTGTTATT